GCCTCCCCCGCCCCACCCCGGCCCCCCGGGCCCCTCACCTCCTCCCAGCATGTGAGCTCCCGGTCCTGGAGGCCAATGGTCCACATGTCGTTCAACCTGCAATAGGACAGAGGCATCAGGACCCCCACAGCTGGGGCTGGCTGTCTGGGTGGGCCTGGGCCTGGGCCTGGGCCTGGCCAGGAGAGAGGGCTCCAGAGAACAACACTTCTGGTGGGACTCTGACCAGGGGACTCAGAGCAGCCATGAGGTGGGAGCTTCAGTTGACGGGGGGGCCACACGAAATCCCTGCCATTCCAGGCCCACCACCCAGCCCAGACAGGAATGAGTGGCCTCATTCACAACTTCTAGGGCAGTGTGGCAGGCTCAGCCACTCCCTCAGCTGACCCCAGGGCTAGGAGAGGACCTCTGGGAGGCACCACTCACAGAAAGCACCACTGACACTGCATCATCTGCAGTTTCCGTAAAGCTGACGTTCCAGGGAATGAGCACGTGCTACTTTTATATTCAGAAAAATAGAGCAAGGCCAATTTTCTACAGTAAGGAGGAAAACGCCTGTGACGTAGGCAAGAGCCCTGTGTAGCCCCCCCATAGGGGAGGGGCCGGGGCTGAGCCCTGCCACTGCCCTCCTCCTGCTCACTCAGCCCTCAGGGTCATTCACTGTGGGCCTGAGTATTCTCACTCCAGCAATTCAAATGGCCACCTGCCCGCAGCCCCGGCTCTGATGACACCAGCTCTGGCCCCATTGCTGAGAAGACCAGCACGCCGTCAAGACAGCTGCACAAACAGGGGCCAGGCTTGCCACCTCCTCAGATGCCCCAGGAGGCGCCTCAGGGTGCCAGTCCTGCTGACCTCTGTGGGGGTCGGGCAGGGCTCCACTCACTGCCCATCACCCTCTTCCCGCCACCCCGTCCACACACCCACCCTCCTGAGAAGCCCTAACCTGGGCCCTCCCGTGCCAGGAAGGCCCACTCGGTGCCTCTGTACACTTACGGGGCGCTCAGAGTCAGGGTGCACGGGCCAGCCACCACCTACCTGGCATTGCCATCGTAGCCAGCAAAGATCCACAGCTTGTCACTGTACACTGTGGCACCGTGGGCTGACCTAGCAACTGGCAACCTGGAGCGTGAAGGGGGGTGGGGAGTGAGGCAGCTAGCGCAGACCCAGCCTCACAGCCCATGAGGCTGGTGCAGGGGTCACAGCCCTGCGGATCCTGCCAGGGCCCCGGGGCTGCCATGCCCACATCTGCTGACACCGGGGCTCTGGGGACTCCAGCCGGGACACTGAGAATAAGCGACAGCAACAGAGGCTGAGCTCATGAGGCACGGGCCAGCTGGATGAGGAATTCAGGCATCCACAGGACACAGAGCCCTCTCCCAGCCACCACCAAAATATCACAGGACCAGAGAAGCGCCTAACAGCAGGACATTCAAGTCCCTTCTACCTTCTAAAAGGAGGGAATCTGAGAGCTGGGAGGAGGCCGAGGACAGGCAGCCGGGAGTTAGCACCAACTCCCAGCTCCCCGCTGTGTGCCCCAGGCCTCTAAGCCTCGGGCTCTTCATCTGTAACGCTACAGGGGCCAGATCCCAGGCCCGCTGTTCCCCAGACCAGGAGTGGGAGCCATCAGGAAAACCCCCAAAGGTTTCAGTGAAGTATCTCACCGGCCTTCAATTTTCCACTCCGTCCACTGCCCAGTTGCAAACTTGTATTCAAAGAGGTCATTTTTATTCTTCAAATTAGAATTGGAATAAATGTCCCCCGTGTAGCCCCCTGGGTAAAGAGAGTGAAAACCTATCACACCCAAAGGCAGCGTTTCAGAGTCTTCAAACCCCAGAAGGTGGGGGCAGAATCTGGCCCCACCTAATATGTATTCCAGGACTCCCCCCATAAACCTTGGGGAGCACCTACTGCATGCCTGCCTCTATGCCAGGCTCCGGGGACACAGCCATGAGTAGAACCGCGTTCCCTGCCCTTGGCGGAAGGCTACCTTCGGGCCCAGTCACGGAGGCAGACAATTCCAATCCCAGGAGATCAGGACGGTTAGGGAAAGGGGCCCAGGCGAGGCGCCTAACCCAGCACAGGAACTTAGAGGACTCGGGCAGAGAAAGCCGAGGGGCGGACAGAGAGAGGCCGGCTGAGGCCAGCACACAAGCCCAAGGCTTGGTGGGAGGGCAGGGGTGCCACGGGCCAGAGGAGAGAGGCAGCTCACCAAAGACGAACATGCTGCTCCCGTAGACGACAGCCGAGTGGTGGTAGCGGGGGGCTGGCGGGGTCCCAGTGGTGAAGGCCCTGGGGTACGGGGGCAGGGAGTGTCAGCAGAAGCCAGCTGTGCGGTCCACGGTCACAAGGCAGTGCCTGCCACTCCCATGCTTCCTTTTAATTTTGTATTTTGAAGGTAATAATTGTTTCATTATAGAAACTTAAACAAAAATCGCCAGTAAGGAAAAAACAAAAAACCAGCCTAAAACTTATCTCAAGGTCTCTCCTCACATCTCTGCTATGTATATTTATGCCTCTGAGTAACTTTTTTAAATGGAATCACGTAGCAGGTATTTTGTAATCTGCTTTTTCAACTGAACAGTAGAATGTGACTAGGTCTTCACGCTACTCTAAAATCATCTAGACCCGCATTCTCACAGCTGTGCTGTATTCCGCAGCATGTATTCTGCAACAAATTTTGTTTATTGAATTAAAAACCTATTTATACTGCTTTCCCAGGGCTGCTCATTTTTAGAGTTTTATACGTAAGCAATTTTTAACAAAGAATTGTAAAGTCTTCAGAGTGACTTTTTAAATTGATCTGTAGCTGTGTGCCGCCATGTTGGAGAATCCAGTGGGAGAGAAACAACACATGCACTTCTGCTCCAATCCCAGCGCCACCTGGGTCTCCCGGGCAGAGAGTGGACGGCCTGAAGTGACGCCACCCAGGCGTGCCAGGCTCGGCAGCTGTGAGTCCCGGCCCTGGACGTCCTCCTCCGTCAGAGGGGGGCAATGAGACCCCATCCCAGAGTGCTGCTGGGGACCGAGAGGGCGGCACACAGAGCTCCTGCACGGAGCAGGGCACTCGAGCAGCTCAGTGGGTCTGCGCTCCTGCCCGAGCAGATGGCAGAGCTCAGAAGGAGGCCCAGCATCTCCTAATCCCGGGATCCATTTCTCCCCCTCAGCTCTGAGCTGCTCCCCAGCAGGGGCTGGACTGGAATAGATGGGCACAAATATGCAGTGCTCAGAGAGGGTAGATGTCTTGCCCAAGGTCACACAGCTGGGGAGGGCCATCTGTGGGAGGGAGGCCAGGGCCCGCATGCTGCCCACTGCTCATGTGGGGTCTCCTGGCAAAGGATGGGCCCCACAGGGCAGGGAGGGGAGGGGAGCCACTGCTGCCAGCCCCTGGGCAGCACCCTGCAGCAGCGGAGTCCATCCTGGAAGGACCCATCAGCCGATGGCTACCATGTTGACTCCCACAGCAGCCCCCGGCCCAGGAGACAGGCCTGGTGACTGAAAGGCTCTCCCAGGGCAGAATTTAAGGACCCGCAACTGGATCAAACAGATCCTCTTAATTAACAGGATTCAGAACATCAATCTCAGAAAAGAAACCCAGGAGAGAGGGAAACGCTAAGGGTGGCTCTGGGCGTGGCACCCCTGGGGCCGCTGTCATTGCCCCCTGAAGCTTCTCTCCAGCTTTCCATGATGAGCAGATTCTGCTGGCAATCAGGGCCCAGCACGGTGCTACCATGTCCTAGGAGAAAGAGCAGGGACCTGGAGGTGGAGAGGCCACCCACCTGCACCAGGAGCAGTCCTTCACGTCAAACCGCAGGAGGTCGTTGAGCATCGTCTTCCTGAAAGACAGCCAGGGAGAGGTGGCTTCAGTCCTGGTCTGCTCTGGAGGGTGTTGCTCCACCAGGACCCAGGAGATGGACACTGCGGCCCGGGGTCAGGGTTGGGGGGAGCTGTTTTGAGGGACTTAGCCAGGGCTAGACAACCAGCTGATGCCCAAGGGACCAGAGAGGTGACCGCAAAGGAAGCTCCCCAGCTGGTGCAGGCACCAGGGCTGCCACATAGGTGGGACCAGCTTGCCCGGGGTCAGGACCAAACCAGGATCCCAGCCACCCGGCAGCTGACTTGAGGGCTCACACGTCACCCCAGGCTCCAGAATCCTAGCTGGCACTCCCACTCACGTGTCCCAGCGCCCCCTCTCTGAGTCTGTGCCACCACAATGCAGATGCTTGCCCACATCTCAGGGGAGGCCCCCTCCCTTCTCTCTGATCTTCCTGCCACCTTGTTATCAAAAAGCCAATGTAATGACTACTTTAAAGATATGATATTTGGAAAACAAATCCACCAGCCATGGCACTACCTAAGAAGACCTGCCTTAGGGCTGGCCCGGGGGTACAAGCCGTTAAGTGCACGCGCTTCGGTGGCCAGAGGTTCACAGGTTGGGATCCCGGGCCCGCACCGACGCATCGCTTGTTAAGCCATGCTATGGCGGCATCCCATATAAAAGTAGAGGAAGATGGGCAAGGATGTTAGCTCAGGGCCAATCTTCCTCAAGAAAAAAGGGGAGGATTGGCATCAGATGTTAGCTCACGGCTAGTCCTCCTCACAAAAAAAAAAAAAAAAGAAGACCTGCCTGTTCTCACCCAGCCCTTGTCAGTAAGAGGAGAGAAGGGCATCAACCCAGCGGGAGCCCAGCACCTCCTGCAAGCCAGGCAGGGCCCTGCCTTGCTCAGTCTACACCAGGAGCTCTCTACGTCTATTTACAGAAGAGGAACCAGCCTGGGAGATAAAAGGGCCTGCCTGAGGCCATGGGACAGGAAGCCAGGAGCTGGGAAGCAGGGGTGTGACTGTAATCCACCCCTCTCCCATTTGCCCTTCCTCCTCCCCACGCCCAATGCTGAGGAGGCCTTCTTTCTTTCTACCCAGTCTTTACAAAGTTGCAACTAGAGTGAGACAAATTTGTATCCTGTCTCTCAGTGTCACATCGTAGCAAACTCTACCTGCTACAGAATATACCTGGGGATGATCCCACCCACTGCCCTGTGCTGGACACCAGGCCTGTTCTGGGTTGAAGGATTCTCGTTAAGGCTGCAGTAAACATCTGTGGGCAGATGCCTCTTCCTTATTCCATTCCCTTGTGTGACAAAAATTTTTTTAATTCTCTGGGTGCTGGGATACAGGTCTCACCCTGGCGGAGGAGACAAATAAACATCTATGTGCTCTGCGGACCAATGGAGACTGTAAGATGTGCAGAAGAGCAGGGGGGTGCTGCCAGCTGGTCCAGTTGGTCCGGGTGGTCTGGGAAGGCCTCACTCAGGAGACTCAGAAGAGGAGCAGGAAGGAGGGAACAGTCAGTGCAGAGGCCTGAGCAGGAGGATGCTTGGTCCAATGAGAACACAGCAAGGCGGTATGCCCTGTGCAGTGCCGGACGAGGGCAGAGGAGCAGTGCGGACACGCGGACTGCCAGGAGGGCTTGGGCTTTTACTCAGAGAGAGGTGGGGAGACATCTCAGGTTATGAGCCAAGGAGGAACATGCTCCAACTTGCATTTTCAAATGGATCCCTCTGGCTACTCATGGGGAAAGAGGGGGAGACAGGCTGGAAGCCACGGGGCATGCCTAAGGAGACCATTCTGCCTAGTCTGCAGGTCCTCATGGGGTCCTGCGTACCCCACCAGCCCCACATCAGCTCCCCCAGGGAGTCTTGCAGCACCAATCAGAAGCCAGCCCTCCCTGGGCTTCAGGCCAGGTGCTGTGGTTGAGAGCCGGAGACAGGACTCAGGCAGGATCAGTCGTGTGCAAACACTGCATCCTCAGCACAAGGAAACCTCTGTCTCGAGCCCCTCACAGCCTTGTGCTCACTGACCCTCGGGAGTACCCTGAAAAAGCAGGCATGTGGCCACCCTCACACACAGAGGAGGAGACCGGGGTGCAGTTCATGCTGTCAAGCTGCCTGCCCTGAGCCCTGTCTATCCAGGAAACCAAGCTTCCGCACCACGTCCAGCAGGCTCGGGGGGCAGCCCTGGCCTTTCCAGAGCACATCAACGAATGAATGAGGGTGGGAAGCCCCACCTAGACTCCAGACCGGTGCTGTTTCGCACTCTCTTACCTCCAGGCCGTTGCCCACACTGATCCCTCTGCTTGGCACACTCCTCCTCTTTGCCTGGCTCACTCCTACTCATCTTTCAAGTCATCAGCCCCTCCAGGAAGGCTTCTCTGATGGACCAGATCCCCCTCTCCTGGTCCAGAACAAGCATGCCTGCTGCGCCTGCGCCCAGGACTTGGCATGGCCCAGCCTACCCTAAGACAGCTCTTTCCCTCTGGGTAGGTCCAGCTCCTGGGGGCTGGGTCATAGGGAAACATGTCAGGAAAAGGAAGCGGCTGCAGAAACCAAGAGTTCATCTTGGCCATTACCTTTCACCAAAGGACCCCAGCCACAACTGAACTGGGCACATCCCCAGTGCATGGCATGGAGGTGTGCCCCCCAACAGAACATCAGGCAGTTGCCAGGTAAGTTGTTTGCCAGGAATTTATAGCAATGAGAGAAAACTCTTACAAAAAGTGAAAAATATGGGAAATAAATGAAACTGTGTCCTCCATACGTTCTCAGCTGCCATGTGAGCATGTGGAGGAGCCCAGAAAGAAGTGCAGGGAGGGAAGTGCACCCTGGCAGAGGTAGCAGCCAGGGCAGATGTGTTTCTTCCAAGACTGTGTCCACTCACTCAGAACCAGAGGGACATTTGTCTCCTGAGCATGTGATACCCACTGGATGCTGCGCTGAGGGCCCTGAATGTGATGAACCTCGCAGATGGGGAAACTGAGGCTGGGTGCTTAGCTGACATCTGGAAAGAGCATGGAGCTGCAGAGGCCCAGTCTGAACCATCATGCTTCTCCCTCCCTGGTCCAAACACCGTGATGCTCAGACTCACTCACCCATTGTCTCCACCAAACACATAGATGGCATCTTTATAGGCCACCACTGTGTGCTTGCTGCGCCTGGAAAGAAAGGAGGGGTGGGTAGCAATGAGGCCAGGACCCTCCTGGGGGCACCCAAGGAATGAGACTAAGATCTGGGGCTGCCACAGAAGTTAGATAACATCTATCAGCTGCCCAGATCAATGGAGACCCCTAAATTCCAACAGTACCCCAAAGGACCCTGCAGGTGAGGAGCCCTGACACTGCCCTGGGACTCTCTGGACTCCCCCATCACACTGCAGAGCACCTGGGACCCCCACTCGAGACCCACAAACACAACTTAACTCTAGCACCCTGCCCCGGGCCACCCCGTTCCGAGACTCCCTCAGAACCCCCTCCTCTGCCCTGGACACCGTTCTGGACACCACCACTCCCCGCCTCCCCCCCATTACCGGGACATACTCAGGACATCACGCCCCAGCTTCGCCCCTGGACCCCCGCCATGGGACCCCCTCAGACAACTCGTCCCGTCACCAAGGCCCCCTGAGCCCCGCCTTACCGGGCCCCCACGAACTCGTCGCAGGGCGGGAGGCGCCGCCAGCGATGCACTGTCTCGAAGGGCCCAAAGTTGAGCGTCAGGTACTCGACACTGTCCGAGCAGCTGTGGTCAAAGTCCACGCTCGGGGCTACCTTGGACCGCGCGCCGCCTGCCAGGGCCCCGGCCCCGATCGGACCCCCCGAGCCGCCCGGCCCCGCCATCCCGGGTCCACGCCCGATCGGCCACCGGGTCCGCGGGACGTGCGGCCACCGCCCCGGGCCTCCCCCGAAGGACTACATTTCCCGGCGAGCTTTGTGCCGACCGCGCGGCACTTCTGGCCGGCGCCCCACTCTCGCCGGCCCGCACTTCCCGGCAAGCCTAGCGCTCCTCGAGACGCCGCGGGTCCGGGAGGCACCGGCGTCGGGATCCTGCGGCAAGCGCGACACCTTATGGGAAACGTTTCCTGCGAAGTATGAGGGCCCGGTTCCCCCTTCCAATGAACACGGTATCAGGTCCCCAGCCCTGTCCCGGTGCCTGCCAGGCCCACGCCGCCCGGAGGTCGGCCACATTTCCCGGCATGCCCTGTCTGCGCGTGGCTCCGGCCTTGATCGTCCGCCGCTCCCGGGATCCCCGGTGGAGGGTTCCGGGCTCTCAGCGGCCTGCGAGGAAGCCCAACTATCCCCTTCCTGCTTGCGCCCCCAGTTCTGGCCCCCCGCGTCTCCCCTCGGCACTCCTATTGTCTGGGAGGCAGAGTGGCGCAGAGGCTCTGGATTCTCATTCCTACTTAATAGCAGAGCCTCAGGTTCTTTACCTGAGAAATGGGGATTCGGGAAGCTCTGGCTGCCATGAGAAGCATGGGGTCTGTCTCAGGACCCAGGCTCTACAGCCATAAGTGGGTTGGCCGGCTCCGTGGCTTAGCGGTTAAGTGCGCGCGCTCTGATCCTGGCGGCCCGGGTCCGGATCCCGGGCGCGCCCCGAGGCACCACTTCTCCGTCCAACGCGAGGCCGAGTCCCACGTACAGCAACTAGAAGGATGTGAACCTATGACATACAACTATCTACTGGGGCTTTGGGGGGAAAAAAAATGAATAAATAAAATCTTTAAAAAAAAAAAAAAAAGTGGGCAAATGCCCCCAAACTGCCAAGCGGGAGCTGCCTCTGGCCTCTCAAGTAGCACTTCTTGTCTCAAGCCCTTTGTGTGTGCTGTCCCCTTCACCTGGAGTGCACTTCTTTCAAAATCCAGATCCAAGACACTGGTTGGAGAAACCTTCCTAACACCGGGGGAGGGGCGGGGAGGATTGGGGAGGGGTGTGGATCAGCTGCTACCTCCTCTGGGCACTCACAGGCCAAACTTAATTGGTGTGGCATTGAGCATTCTGTGGTTGTGCCTGTCTCTCCATCATCTGCTTTCTCCTTCATGAGTGTGATGGTGCTCAGGGCAAGCTACCCCAGGAGGCGCCACTCTGGTATGCGGATTATTTCGAGCTGAAGACAATAAGGACTCAGAGAACTCAGGAAGAATATTTGAGTTTCCCCTCCCAAACTGCCTAAAGAATTTAAAACAAAAGATCTGTTTCAGTAAGGAGTTATTATCATGACGGCTGTAAAGATAATGTAGGATAGAGGTTACAATAGAAAAGGCACCAACAAGCCCATCTTATCGGAAGTTCTGTCTCTCTGGCCACATTCTCTGGATGGCCCTGCGAGGAGTTGCCAGGCAAACATTTACATTTATAAGGGAAGTCTCCATTTGTAAAGGTATCTCCCTCTCTGTATTGGGAAGAGGGGGGATGACCTCATTTCTAGAAACTTATCAATGTGGAAGCTGAGGCCTTAAAACTGCATAATAACCTTACTCTTGTTTACTGTGCTTTAGTGGTAATCTCCTGTAACTGACTCCCCCCACCCCCAACATCCTCCTTTGTCTTTGGTTGAACATGGTATTTAAGACAAGAATTTCTGCTATTGTGTTGAGAAACGCAGTGTCCCTGCTTTCTCCCATGTATACATGTTATTAAACTTGGTATTATTTTCTCCTGCTAACCTGTCTTGTTAATTATTTGGCCAGCCATAAGAACCTTAAGGAAAAGGGCAGAGGGAGATTCTCTCCCTCTCCTGACAAGTGTTTGCCCAATGACATTGGAAGTCACACACATCTGCAAATGTGTGCATTTTAATTTTAAGATAATGTCTAATATGTTGCAGGGTCCTAGAGGGAACCAGTCCCAACAGAGGGAGAAGCAGCAGGGCCTGTCCTGCCTCCACCGCCAGCCATTGGTGGCAGCCGAGGCCTTGGGTGGTGAGCATCCTGGAGGCAGCCGAAGGCAAGCACTGGGAGGGCTCAGATGCTGCCCTGGGGGGTCCTGGGAAATTGGAGGTTGGCACCTGCCCCCAAGGCATGGCTTCTGTCCCTGGTGCCCCAGCGTGCCTGTCCAGGTCCGCTGCATGCGAGCTCAGGATCCTTTCCCTGTGAGCCAAGACATGTCGCCAGTCCTGCAGGAATGGGGGAATAATCAGGGCAGAAGAAGAGAGCAGGCTCCCCACTCGGCACCATGAGCAGCTGGCCCTTGAGGACAGCAGGGGGCCTGCTCTGTGCCAGGCCCTGGTGCCCAGCACGAGTGTGTACTAGGGCAGAGGAGGGAAGACCATCGGGGCAGGCTCTGGGCTGAGGTGGGAAAAGTTCAGAACAGTCAACAGGAAGGACAGGACACACGTACTTGCTGTGCGGTAGAAACAGCCTTTTCGAAGGCAAAAGAGAGAGAGGATCAGGGAGAGAGCATGTCATTCATCATGTCCCCTCTTGGTTCTCTATTGTTTCTAGCCTGAGGCCTACCCCTGTCCTGCGGCCTCCAGGCTTTCCCCAGTCCCTGGGGGCTCTCCCTAGACAGGACTCCCATTGCCACCATGCCGGGATGAGGGTAACAGCTGGTGTCCACTATCCCCCAGACCCTGAACAACCACCCCACATCTCTGTGCAGGGTGTCCCCAGGAGCATCACTAGGGGCATTTCCCCACCTAGCTTCTGCCAGGTTCAACACAACCATGTCCAGTCAGGTGTCCCAGGCCCGGTGATTGCCCAGGCAGTGGGCCTTGACCCCTCCCCACAGCACTGGCCCTGCCCTAGGACACGGCCCTTTTTCCTTCCACCCCCAGGAGCACATATAACCAGCCCGCTCCCTAACCACAACCTTTGCCCCACACGGCCCCACAACCCTGGCATCCTCAGACTGTGGGGGCCAAGAGTTGGGGGAAGGGCCCTAGAGGGCTGTGGGGGTAGCTGGCTGCCATGGGCAGCTTGAGCCAGTCCCTCAGCGGACCCCCTCACCCCAGCCAAGGCCTCTGAGACCAACACTCACTCCACCTCCCGCTTCCGGATGGCACGGCCTGAGGCCAGCACCTCAGCCACCTTGGACACAATGGGATCATAGTTCATGCTGGCCACGGCGATCACCTCGTCGCCTCTGCAGAGAGAGGGTGGCTGAGCCCAGGAACTGCCCAGCAGCAGCAGCCCTTCTTGGAGACCCTGACTCACTCCTGTCCACCTACCTGGGGCCCAGGCAGGGATCTTACCCAAGACAACAGGAACGTCCTGAGCACCCAGCCCTCCCGCTTCGCACTTTACCGCTTGGCCCAGCAAGGGCTTCCGGCTCCTGCAGGACCCCATGGAGGCTCCAGCCTTCCTCCTCAATGGGGTTCAGGGCTGGCTCCGTCGGGGATCATCACTTTCTACCTGTGTGACTTTCCTCAGTGTAAAAGTAGGGTGTCACCCCCCGCCTCAGAGAGCTGTCCTGAAGATAAATGCCCCTCCTCAACGCGTGGCAGGGGAGTCACTGCTGCCCACCTCCTCACCTTTCCTGGCTGTCTCCTGCCTAGCTGCCTCCCTTCGCCACTTGGCCCAGCTTTCTGGGAAGGCCCCTCCCGCCCGAGCTTCCGCTGCTTCACGCCCTTGCTCCGCCACGTCGCTCTCACTTGGTGTAAAAAGCCACGAACTTCAGCTGCTCCAGATCCCCCTGGATGATGACGTCGTCGAAGCCGTCTCCGTACCCTGTGGGCCGGGCGGGCGGCGCCCACGTGAGCCAGCTCCACCGGGTCAGCGCCCTGTGCCCTTCTAACTTCCCCCCCCCCGCGGGGACCCCCTCCAGGCCCGGCTCCCTTTGTCCTTTTAGGTAGTCCCCGGGCCCGCCCCCAGCGAGTTCTGTGCTCCTTCGTATAGCTGTCACGGCCCCGGCCCTAGGATGCTCATAGCCCCGCCCTAACCTCCAAGCCCCGCCTCTGCCCTCCGCGAGCACCTGGGCCCCGCCCCCGTGCCAGGCCCCTCTGGTACCTGCATAGCGTAGGCTCTTGCCGAACATGGCTGTCCACAGGTAGGGCACGGTGCTGATCTCTGCCTCCTGCGCTAGCATGTTCTGGGCCGCCACCCGCCCTGAGGGACCCAGGGTCGTGTGAGCCCCGACCCTAGTCCTCACCACCCCTACACTGCCTGCCAAGGCTTTATGGGGACCCTGACATGTGGGGACTCCTCGCCTTCCCAGAGATCAAGAAGGGCATCATTGCACAACCTCAGTTGCAGTTGATGGGTGCTGAGGGGTACACCTGGCTCAAAGCTGGCCACTTAGATTGCTTCTCTGGAGAATTTGAATGACGTGTCCTGGGTCTGGAAGGTCTGCTTCCTGGGGTTGTGGGGCTGCCCGGCCATTTCAGGTGTGCACACAGAACTATTCAGACACGTCAGGTCTGAAGAGGAGGCAGGAGAATGGGGCACACAAGTCCCCAGAGAAGCAGAGATGACAGTCACACCCAGGGACCCAGAGAGAATAGCATGAGTGGCTTCCCAGTTCATGTGAGGCCCCAGTGGACCCCAGCAGTGGGGTGTCTATGAGAGTCCCCTGGACCCCCCAGTTAAACCTTAGGTACCCTGGCTGATGAGTAGCCTTTGGTTCCTTGAAACCTAGCACTAACTTTAGACCTTGGACCTGAACAGAAGTTGGTACCAGGAGTGGCGTTTCAGGCAGCCGCTCAGACAAGGTGAAGGCAGAGGGAAGGGGGGGTGCAGGGAGTCTGGCGGTCCTCCCTGTGAGGCAGCTACCTTGCTGGCACCTACAGCTTAGGGGCCCAGACCAGGTATGCACAGGTGAGTGAGGCTTCAGAGGCTTGGTGACCACCAGACGTGAAGGGAAAGCTATTCCTCAGAGAGCACAACAGTTCCCCACCGAGCCCGAGTTTCCAGGCCTGCCTGAGGCAACTGGGTTCACAGAGCCAGTCGAATGGCCCACGGGAGACAGAGGCACTGACTGGGGAGGTGGCCCATGTCCCATGGCCCCTTTCTCTCTCCCTGGGTGACTGCACAGGTTGGTGGGGAATTCTGCAGAACGTGTGTGTTTGAGGACAAAAGGAAAGGAGAGGCTGGTGGAAGGACAACTGAGGGGGGAGGGGCACTGTGGATGGCTGAATGGGGTGTCCAGAGGGCACTGGAAGGAGGTCTCTAGAGATGGGCCACAGGGCTTGCTCTGTGAGCTGGCTTGATCAGCTGGTGAGGCTGATCAGATAGGTCACCACAGAGCCTTGAACGGCTAACCCAGTGACCAGGACCAAGGCCAGCAACTGAGGGGTGGGCCAGGGGGAGGCTGAGACCCTGGGACAGCCTCCCACCCTCCACCCTTCTGCGGGGCTGGCTATACCCTGTGCATGAGCCATCTGCCAGTGTGGGATGTTCACTTTGCGATTGTTCCTCCAGGCCAGGGGGAAGGTGACAGCATCGCCAGCTGCAAACACACCTGGGACGTTGGTCTGCATCATCTGTGGGGAGAGGGCTCAGGGCTCCATGGGTGGGTCAGGGGCCCTGACCTGGACCTTCCACGGCCCCCAGCCGAGCACCCTGCCCGCCCCAGCCAGCTCCACCTTGTTGACAGGGATGAAGCCTCGGGAATCCAGACTGATGCCACTCTGCCTCAGGAAGCCCGTGGCGGGCACCGCACCTGACAGGACACACCACAGCATCCACTCCCCGGTCCCTCCCTTCTCCCGCCTCATTGCTCTCCATGACCCACACCCTTCACGTGCCGCAATCCAGCCCCAGACTGATCCTCCAACCGGCTGCCCACCCTGCAGCCTCCACACCTCCTGTTCCCTCTGCCTGGACCCCCACAGACCCACGTGTCTCCCATTAGGCCTCAGGCATCACCTCCTCTGAGTAGCGCTCCATGAAGCCCCCTGGGGGATCAGTGGGCCACACCTCCCCAGCCCCTGTGCTGCCACATCCCAGCTTTGTCCCTCCCCAAATAGGCACCTCAACTGGAGCAGGGACCAGTTAGAGGCTTGTTCATGTCCTGCAGCCTGCACAGGGCAGGCCATGCACTCAAGTATTAGTAGGCAGCGGTCACTGGGAGCATCCTTGTGCCAGGCCCTGGCTAAGCCTGGTATGCATGTTCTCCAACAGCCCTGTGAAGTGGGTACGTTTGGGGTCCCCACTTTACGGATGTGGAAACTGAGGCTCAGGGAGGGGAAGGGACTGGCCCAAGGTCACTCTCAAGCACGTGTGTGTAGTTCTGCTCATTCTCGCCTGCCTGCTCACCCACTCACCAATGCCCACCACACAGACGTCAGCCCGCACGACCTTGCTGCTCTTGAGCACGACCTCCTTCAGCTGTGGGGAGTGGTTGGGTGAGCAGGAAGGCCCAGCCCCCAGGCACATGGGAGCGGGGACAGAAAGCAGCAGGAGCAAGGAGAAGGGCCCACCTTTCCCTCCTGCGCCCGCAGCTCCGACACCTCCGTCTGCATGTAGAACTTGACCCGGTTGTTCTCAAACATCTGTCAGGGAAGGTGGGTGGGGGGGCAGTGGGTGAGAGCCCGCCCAGGGACTGAGCTGGGCGCCCAGGGTTCCGAAGCGCTGAGTGCTGGGGTGGGCTCACCTTCATGAGGGCACGACCGACACGCTCCCCTAGGAACCTCCTGAAGGGCGTCTCCTCCAGCTCCACCACAGACACTGAGTGGGCCTTCTCAGTCAGATAGGCGGCCACCTCCATCCCTGGGGCCAGGGTAGGGGGCAGGCTGGCACCCTGCACCTCCCAGGGCCAGTACCACCCCAGGACCGGTGATGATGGCCTGACCACCACCCCCAGCTGCTCACCCAGAAAGCCAGCTCCCACGACCACCACGTTGCGGCCCCAGGCCAGCCTCACCACGCGATTGGCATCCTCAGGCGTCCGGATGGTGAACACGTTCTCCACCTCTTTGCCTTTGCAGCTCAGGGTCTTAGGGCTGAGATGTGGCTGGTGTCAGTGAGGGGCTCGTGGCACCCCAAGCCCTCCCATCCTGGCTGGTGTTCTAACCAGTGTCCAACAGGGTGCCAGGGGAGACCCCTCCCACCTGCTCCCTGGTGCCAGCAGCAGCTTGCTGTACTCCAGCTTGAAGCCATCCTTGAACACGGCCTTCTTATTTCTCACGTCCACTGTGACCACCTGCAACCCCCGCCAGGCAGAGTGTGGCCTGGGCATGGACCTGGGCCTGGCCACCCACTCTCGGGTCCTGCAATACACCCAGAGCCGGCCAGGCCCTCTGGGCAGCTCCATAGGGCTGTTCCTATCATCCGGTCGTCTCCCCTCCCTCCTGGCAGCTCCTCCTCGCTCTGTAAGCTTCAGACATCACCCTCCATTCAAAGCCCTCCTTACACTCCCAAGTCCCACCAGGCTCTCCTGCTCCAGCCCCGAGCAGAGAGTCTGTGTCCCCACACACCAGACCTCCACGAGTGCCCATGACCCTGCCAACAAGAGGATCCAGTGCTGCCTCCCAGGCCTGCAGCACCCCAGGTGCCAGGGCAGTGGGGGCAGGAGGGCGGAGCACTGCACACCCATCCATGGGCCCACATGCTTCACGCCCTTCATCGTTCCCACGAAGCCTTCCCCAGGCCTGTTCCCTGGCCTTGGCCCCAGACCTGGGCCTCCGTGAGCACCTCGATGCCGTAGGCTCGGAAGAACTCCTTGGGCCTTAGGGCCAGCTGCTCGGGCTGTGCATCCAGGGACTGCAGGAGACAGCCAGCTTGAAACAGGGCCAGGAGGCCATTGTTCTATTTTGCAACAGAGGACCTGGGGCCCAGGGAGGGTAGGGCCAGCACCAGGTCACATAGGGGCTTCAGGACAGAACTCAACAAATCCATGTCTTCCTGGGGCACCACTGGTGGGCCTGGCATGAGCGGAGAGGGCAGCTGGCCAGACCCCCAAGGGGAGACAAGCAAGGCTCCAAGTGGGCTTAACTGGGACCCAGAGGGGAGGGTGTGGGCCCTGCCCAGCCCCTACTCGCCCCACCTCCCACCTTGCTGAGCTTGGGCCGGTCGTAGGGGGGGTGCCGGTCCAGCGTGCACAGGACAATCCTGTCTGAGAAGCCCTCCTGCCGCAGGGTCTCCGCACACACCAGGCCAGCTGCCCCTGAGGGGAGAGGGCTGGGGTTAGGACCACTTCTCCCCTACCCAACCCTGCCCCTTAGGACCCCACCACCAACCTGCGCCCACAATGAGCACGTTGGTACTGCCGCTGTGGCCAGCGCTCGGAGAGATACACTTGGCCATCACCTTGGTTCTTCGCTGCAGCTGCAAGGCCTGGGGTTGGCCGGAGAGTGGGGGGCAGCTGGGAGCTGGAGTCATCGTCATCCTTCCTATGCCATCATCCCAGCAGGCCAGGTCCTGCTGCTCCAGTCCAGCCTCATCCCCACCATGCAGCCCTGCACTCTGCCCCCCAGCCACACACATCACACTCCCTCCCACTGCAAGGCCTTTGCACAAGCTGTTCCCTGGGCCCAGATGCCCTCCTTGGCCCTCCCTTTTGCCTGAGCCCCAGCCACTCCCTCACCTGCTTGCTGGCCCGGACGTACACCTTCTCCTTCTCAATCTTCACCTGCAAAGGCTGTGTTGCTCAGGACCAGGCTTTGGGGTGCTCCAGCCCCTGACCCTGCACCCCAGGCTCCCACTCCACCACTGTCCCAGCCCCACCTGGAACTTGTGCAGGCTGTCTAGGCCAGGGAAGTCCTCCAGGTCCCCAGTGCTGATGTTGAAGCAGGCGCCATGCCACGGGCAGCGCACCCGGCCACGAGACAGCACGCCTGGGAGGGGACAGTGCTAGGCTGGGGCCACCAGCAGGAGCACCTCTCCAAGGATCCCTCAGTCCCAGCACCCACTGGCCCTTCCCCACAGCCCAGGAGTTTCCACTAATAGACCAGGGCCTGGGGGTCCAGGGAGGGGCCAAGCTGGACTGGGGCCTAGTGGAGGTGGGGTAGAGCGCCCCCTTGTGATGGTGCCTCAGCCAAGCCTCCTGCATGGAGGTCCCAGCCCCACCTCCTGTGCACCAGGACAGCTCACCTTTCACCAGGGGCGCACCATAGTGTGGACACTTGTGGCCCAGGGCGTGGAACTCCCCATTGTCCTTCACCAGCAACACCTTCCCCCAGCCCAGCTCCACTTCCCGCATCCTGGGGAGGGGCTGCACTCAGAGTTCAGGCCAGACACCAGGCACCGCCTCCTCCCAGAGTCCGGCCTTCTGGGGAGCAGGCCCAGACCAGAAGCCACAACCCACCAGGACAGGAGCTGGCCAGGGGCCCCTTGCAAGCCACCCTGCCGGCCCCATCCATGGCCTGCACCTTGTCCTCCCACCTTGGCTCCTCTGACCCCACTCCCAGGCCCAGCACCCACTGGCCATTCTCGAGGTCTTTGACATGGCAGATGGCGGCCTCCACGCAGTCCTGAGCGCCCGGGTAGGGGTGAGGGGCGGGCAGGCGCTCCTCAGTGTGGAAGTGGCGGGCCGTGCCATTGCCCTGGTAGGCCCGGGGGCTGCCCTTCCCGCTGGCTGACAGCTCCTCCTTGCCCCGCTCCTTCTCCGGCAGCACCACCTCGATCTTGAGCTCCACTGCAGGCAGGCGAGTTGGCCGGTGAGCCCCCAGCCGGGCCCCCTCCTCGCCCACCCCACGAGCTCTGGGCGGCTGGCTCCTCTGAGCGCAGGTTCTCCCCTGTGCCCGACCTCTCCAGAAAGCCACGTGCACCACCAGCAAAGAGCCTTTAAAACAGGGAAGAAGCAGAGCAGGGCCGGCAGGGGGCGGCTGGGTGGGCTTCAATTAAGTTCTGCATGTTTTCTTTTTCAATAACAAAATCAATCAGGCGGAACAAAGCGAAGCTCCTTCGACCCTGAAATTGCCCTTTCTCCAAGAATCTCTGTGGAGGAAAGAACCCTATGCCCCGAGTCTTGCTCTGACTCCAAGGGCACAGCCCCTGGTGCAGGACAACCATATCCCTGACAGATCAGGGGCGCATTTAGGGTCTGACTCAAGCGCGATCAGGGCATCAAAACCAGGGGAGGCTCAGTTCCCAGCCGGTGAATCTGGGTGACAGGATATGGAGGGTTCGTTGTTCTACGCTTGCAACTTTTCCTAAAACTAAAAGTGTACACAGTATAATTTCAACTTCTTAACATAGCTATTCTCGCCAGTTTGAGAATCCTGCCCATTTACCCAGGTGCTGGTTTGTCAGTCTTCGTGTGCAGGGGTCTGGGCCCTGGAGGTGAACCCCACCTGGGGGAGGTGCATGTGGACCACGAAGAGGGGACACGGGGGTCCCCAGCCTCCACACAGAAGACACTTCCCCTACATGGGGCCTACTCTAGGGGGAGTTAGCCAAAGATTGTAATTGTCTTCTTTCTTCTTTTCCACATTTTCCAAATTCCCTGCAGTGTGCCTGGGGTATTTTTCTAATTAGAAGGGAACAATAAACAGAATTTTTAGCAGCGATAATCTGGCCTCCTGGGCTGCGGCTGCAGGGAGTGATGGAGGCTAAGCCCCTGGCACAGCATGGGCCCCAGGTGGGAGCAGGAGGGGCCTCTCTCGCCTCCCAGGGCACCAGAGCCTCTCTGGCCTCTCCTCTCACCCCCTCCACCTCAGACCTGACCCTCCAGGGACAAAGAACCCGAGCCACCCCTCCGACCTTTGCTTATTCAGCTCCCCGTGGTTCGGACTGCCATCCTGCTCGGCCCAGAGACCTCCTGTCCGTCCACCAGATGCAGCTCAGGTGTTGCCTCCCCGGTGCCCAGCCCCTGCACGTCCCTCATCCTGCAGTGTTCGTCCCCACCCCGGCCTGGCCCAGGAGCCTGGGGGGCAGGCCCCAGCCCAAGCCCAGGCATGGCAGGGGTGGGGGTGACTCCAGCTGGGCAGGAAGGGTGCAGGAGCACCCCCCACGCTGAATCTGTTATGTCAGGTGGGGGCATTACGAGTAGGGTGGGTTTTCTCCTCCATTTTCCACACTTTATGTAATTGTGTTAGAATGTTTTCAGAAGAATTAAAAAGAAAAATACTTCGGATTCAGCTGACACTAGCTATGAGAGCTGGAGAGAGGGAGGTCCCAGGGACAGCCTGGCAGGGGCCCAGATAACAGCCAAGCCAGGCTGTTTTCATCCTCCCCCTCCTTCCAGAAGACTCTGAGGCACTTGCTGATGCCGTCTAATGGGAAGCCACTAAGTCAAGAGCAGTGGCAGAAAGGCAGATAGGGAAGGGGATCTCTGTTCACCCACAGAGCCGGATCAGCCCTAGCTCCATGAGTCCCAGCTGCCCACATGACCATGGGCCCCTGCCTTAGCGCCACTGGGCAGATGGCTTCACTATAAAACGGAGAGAACAGTGCAGAAGGAGATAATATGTGTAACCCAGAGTAGAAGCTCAATAGATGAAGTTGGGTAGTGGTGTTTTTTGGTTAGCTCTGAGCTTCCTGGCAGCCATAGTGAAGACAGAAAGCCTTTGGGTAGCACTTGTGGCCTAAAAAAAGGCAAAGTGACCAGATGCCAAGAGAGCTGCACTTTCTCCTAGTTCTGAGCTTAGCAAGGGTCTGGCCTGGAACACTTCCTATCAGGAACACAGAGCCACTGGAGCATGGAGAGTACAGAGGGAGCTCAGGAAGCATGTGCTAATGTGCACCAAGCCAGAGTCAAGCAAGGTAGAAAGTGAAGAATTTGCACAAAAATCTTCTGCTTATTCTAGCCTCCCTGTGGCCCCTGCTGACCCCCTTGAACGCTCATGGCTGAATGCTCTCACTCCCACACCCTGAAATTCCCTGAGCCTCACCCCTGACCTGCCCAGCATGGGTGCCTGGGGCCTGAGCTCCTGCTCTCCTGCCACAGCCCCACAGGGGAGTCCTGGCAGCATGGATCCCAGCCCCCAAAAGAGGGGATAACACCATTCTGCAAATGCCTCTTGTGTGCCAGGCCCTGTGATAAGCACAACAGCCCCATTTTACACATGAGAATATAGAGGCTCAGAGAGGTGAAGTCACCTGCCCAAGGCCACACAGCAAAGAAGGGGCAGGGCTGGATTTAGATTTCAGAGCCCAAGTTCTTAGCATTGCCTCTGGGGTGGTGAGAGTGGCTAGCCCCTGAACCAGGAGACCTGGGGCCAGAGGTCCCAGGCAAGCTGGCCCTTTGGGGTCCTTTAAAAGAAAATACAGGTAGCATCTTCTGCCCAGGGCCTCCTGCCAGCCCAGTGTCCTACAGGAGCCCAATATGGGGCCAGCCAGCATCTTCCTACCCACTTCTGATGGAGGAAAGCTGACGTCAAGACAGAGCACATCATGAGCCCAAGTCATACATCGAGGCAGGTGGGGAGAGCGGCGGGATCGGGCCCAGGGCTGGGTGTTAGGGGAGGGGAACCCATTTCCTGGGGCAGGTGCAGGTGAGTCCCTCTGCCTGGTGGCATCACAGGTCTCCTCTTGCCCCCAAGTTTCCCCTCAGACCCAGGAAAAGGAGAAAAGGCTCACGCCTTCCAAGGTAATGGAGCCGATGGTATCAGGTAAGGGGAGCCGGGTCGACCTGGCCAGGGCAGGCTGGCCAGGGTGGTGGGGGCACTGGCTGGGCACTGGCTGGGCACTAGAGATGCCTCACTCAGCCTCGGTTTCTTCATCTGTGACAGGCCTGCACACCCTTCCTTCCTGGGTGTTGTGAGGACGGAAGAGGGAGAGTAGGGGCTGGAGGGACAGCCTGGCAGACAAGGGTCTCCATGGAGAGCAGACCAGGCCTCCCCCAGCACCCCGGGATACCTCCAACCCCGCTGGAACAGCTTGGGCCAGGCAGGGTGGGTATTTCCTATACAAATGGGGAAGCACGCCCAGAGAGGCTGAGGAGGTGGCCCAAGGTCACAGAGGGGATCAGAAGAGGTAAAAAGGGCCAGGAGCTGACCACTCCACCCTCATAGCAACTTTGAGAAGTCAGGCTAATTTTGTAGGGAGGGAAACTGAAGCTCAGAGAAGTGATGTGCATGCCCTGGGTCACACAGTGGCTGAGGGTGTCCCCAGAGTCCCCCTTCCCCAGCCCTAGGGAACATTGCTCCCCTCACCCACCCTGCAGCAGGAGAAACCCTCCCCTCCCCTTTCCGAGAAAGATTCAGCAGCTATTCCCACCACCAGCACCCAAAGCCCCAAATACAGAGGGGGACCCACTGGAGACAGGCCAGGAGAAGGGCTCTAGGCCCCCTACCCCCTCCTGCCCGCAGTGCATTAACATTCGGAGCCGGAGCCGGCTGCCACCCAGCCCAGCCTGACCTACTTCGGAGGCAGAGGGGGAAGGGGAGGAGGAAGATAGCAGGAGGAGGGAGGGAGAAGGGAGAACAGAGGGAGGGTGGAGGCAAGAAGAGAGGAGGTACCTGGCTTGGGCTTGGAGAAGCAGCTGCCCATGGCGAGTGGCCTGTGGATGGGCAGGGGGAAGGGGCACAGGTGGTGGGCTGTGGGAGGCCTAGGGTGCCCTCGGTGGGGCTGGACCTCCCACGGCCTTTAGAGATGCTGGAGCCACCATCCCAGCTAGAGCTGCCTCCAGGACCTGCAAGGGAGACATGGGGCATCTATGTGGACCAGCACTTTGATGGGGGGTGGGGGTAGAGACAGAGGGAGACAGATAAGGATGGGGGAAACACAGGATGGGGGAGGGGGGAAGCTTCTGGAAGAAGTCCACATTTAAGCTGGGAACCATTGTATGTAGCAGAGCTAGATCCCAGAGGAACAACGGGACCCTGGAGGACACCTCCCCTTTGAGGCCCTCCAGGCTCAGCACCTTCACTCCCTCCTCCTACTTTGCATGGGCTGTGCCCACTGCCAGGGGAGCCCCTCTGGCCCAACCTCAGCCACTCTTTTGGGTCCAGCCCCACAGCTGCCTTCTCCAGGAAGTCCTCCCTGATTTCTGCTGCCCCCTCAAAATCACACAGCCTGGGAGCTTTGGGATCCTCCATCCTTCCTGGAGGCCACCATGCCTGGGGTCAAGCCCCGGTTCACCTTGGGCAGATTACAGCCCTCCTGGTCCTCGAGTTTATCCTGCCTACAATGGGGGTGACATTTAGTTCTCCCCTGCCCCCCCCCCTTGGCTGACAGCCCCTGAATACCCACCTCCTCCAAGGGCAGCCACTGCCTCTTGCTCCCAGCCCAGGTTCTGGAAGGCAAGGCAAGGGGGGTAGGGGTCCAGGAGGCAGCCCAGCCTCCACCCCTCCTCCCAGTGTGAGCTGCGGCCAGGAGGGGTGAGGGGGCAGGGCTGGGCCAGTCCACCGGTCCCCAGGGAAACCCAGCTCCATGGTGAACAGAAGTGGGCGGCCAGCCCAGGCCACTGGGGTTCGGGGAAAGGGAGGCCAGGCCCACAGCACTGGCTCCCATACCCCTATCTCCCGCTCTTCACAAATGCCCACCAGGCCCCCGATGCTGAGGTCATGCCCAGCAGCAGATGGAGAAACTGAGGGGCCCGGGGCAAGCGGCAGGGAGGGGCATCTGGGTGGCCTCCCACCCCTCCCCCACCTTAGTTAGTTCCAAGACGGGCAGGGCCCCAGGCAGCCCCCATATCACCCTGCAAGCCACCAGGCTGGGGGAGGGGTCACCTGGTTAGCAAAGAGATCCTGCAGCCAAGAAGCCCTCAAGGCCACAGGGTGGGCCTTCTGCAAGATGCAGCTTACAGACTGGACTTTGGAAGGCCCGGGACAAGAATAACTGCCCTGTTTACAACTGACCTCCCCATGGTCCATCCCACTGACATCCCCTCCGTTACCCCTGGAAGTTCTTCCTGAAGTCTAACTCGAGGTGGGGCTGAGGCCGACTTGGTCTTGCCCAGATCCCAGCAAGGGCCCCAGCTGGGCAGGTGCCTGAGAGCAAAGGGGCCAAGATAGGAGGGAAAGGCTGGGGAACAACCATCTCCTGCCTGGCACTTGATCTTACTTGCCCTAGAGGCGAGGAGGCGGTGGACCCAAAGCCCACCTGGATGTACCCATGCTCTTTCCCAGGTTTTTTACAGGTCTGTACAATGTGACCACCTCCTTCCCTGCCTGCCCCCTCCCCAGATCCTGGCTTCACCTCTGACTCAGCCCTGCCCACCTTCCTGCCTGGCCTCGGGCCTCACTTGCTGGACCACAGATCCCAGAAAAGGTGGGACCTCAACCTGCCACCAGGCGCCTGTCTAGGCTGTTCTCTCCCTTCCCAGGTCCCCAGGTATTTATTTCAGAGCCTTGGGCCTGGAAAGAGATTTGCTGGGAAAAGAACCTCCCGCAGGGCTACTGTGTGCCGGCTGGCTTGGAGCCCTCCTGCCTCCTGCAGACCCAGACAGCCCCACTCAAAGGCAAAGGTCCTTGCTAGGGGCAGGGCAGGAGAGGCCCCCAAGTTTCTGCGGGGTGCTGTCCCTTGACCACAAGCTGCCCAATGCTGAAAAGTTGTAACAGTGCCCAAGTGCTAACTACCCCCCCCCCAGGGAGGAGCCTGTGTCCTGACTCACCAAGCACACCCCCAGTTACTGCAGGCTGGGCAGAAGCCTCTCCCCACTCCTCCGCCTAGCGCCCCCCGCTTCATCAAGGATCTCATGGGCCCTCCCCACACCCACCCCCCACCCAGAGGCTGCTTCCAGCCTTCCTCGGGATGGCATCCGAGCTCTCAGCCCGGCATTCCAGTTTAGGGGGCTATCACCCTCCCCTCCTCCCCACGGGGCTCAGGCGCAAACCTCCTGTGCACTCTCCCTGCCTTTGCACGTGCAGTGCGTTCTATCCGGGAGGCCCTTTCCAGCAGTCTTCCCGGCTTGTCCAGGTCCCCCCACCAGAGCAGGCGGCCCAGGGAGGGGACTGGCACACCGTAGGGCCCCGCTGCGAGCGAGGCGGGGCCGGGCGGGGGAGGGGAGAGGAGGGGGGCTCTCCAGCCCCGGCCCTTCTCTCTCCCCGGCTGCCGACCCCGACCCCCCAAAGCGCCAGCTCTGGGTCCGAGAGCCGCGAGCGCGCGCGCTGGCCCGGGACGCAGAGGCGCCAGGGCCGGGACTCGGCGGCCGAGCTGGGTGGCGGCCGCGAGGAGGACCGAGCTGCCGATGCCCGCCTGTCTGGCGCCCCAACCTGCCGACCCGGGCCTGCCCCTCCCCCGGCGGCCAGGCCCCCTCGGAGTCCCGAGTGCGCACGCACCCGGAGTCCAGCCGGGCCGCGCCGGAGAGGGGCTGGGGGGCGCG